TATAAATGGAATCATAGAATGTATTTATTTTTCTTGTCTAGTATCGTTCACTCCAAATGTTTTGAGATTCATCTATGTTATTGCAAATACAAATTGTTTGTTTCTTTTCATTGCTGAGTAGTATTCAGTTCTAAGAAGTTATTTATCTGTTTACCAGTTGGTGGGTATTTGGGTTGTTTTCGGTTTGGAGGTGTTATGAATAAGGCTGTCATAAAATTAGCAAACAAGTCTTTCGGTAGGCAGATGTTTATATTTCTCTTTAATATATGCGTAGGAGTAGAATTGCTGGGGTATAGTGTAGATGTAGGCTGCCTTTTATAAGAAATCATTAAATAGTTTTCCAAAATGGTTGTACCATTTTATACTCCCATTGGTAGTGAGAATTATAGATACTACACATCCTTTGCCAATATACAGTATTGTCAGTCTGTTCTAGTTGAACCATTTTGGTACATGTAAAATGGTGGTTCCAATTTGCATTTCTCTGGTGACTAATGTTGAGGGCCTTTTCATTTGCTATTTGGTCATTTGTGTATTTTCTTTTGTAAAATGTCTGTCCAAGTCCTTTGCTTATAATTTTAGGTTTAGAGACACATTGAGCAGAAAATACGGCATTCCCATATACCTTCCTCTCCTCACAGTTTCATGCATGAGTGTAATACATTTCTTACAATTCATGAACCAGTATTGACATGTTGTCAACTCCAGAGTTTTCAATAGGGTTCACTCTTTTGTGTTGTACAGAAGGTTTTGACAAATGCATAATGTCGTATCTACCATGACAGTACCATACAGAATAGGTTCACTGCCTAAAAAATCCCTTGTGCTTCGTCTCTTTCCCCATCCCTTCCCCTCCCACCCTAACCACTGCCAATCACTGACCTTTTTACTGTTTCTATAGTTGTGCCTTTTTCAGAATGTGCTATAGTTGGGATCATACAGTATATGTCATATCAGACTAGCTTGTTCACTTAGCAATACTCATTTAAGGTTCCTTCATGTCTTTTTGTGGCTTGATAGCTCATTTCTTTTTACTGATGAAAAATATTGCATTATATGGTTGTACCACGGTTTATCCATTCACCTGTTGAAGGACATCTTGGTTGCTTCTAATTTCTGGCAATTATGAATAATGTGGCTGTATACATTTATGTTCAGGTTTTTGTGTGGAAGAACTTTTTAATTCATTTAGATAAATACCTAGTGGTCCAGTTGCTAGATCATACAGAAAGACTATATTTGGCTTTTTTTTCTTTTTAAGATTTTATTTATTTATTTGTCAGAGAGAGAGAGTGCACAAGCAGGGGAAGTGGCAGGCAGAGGGAGAAGTAGGCTCCCTGCTGAGTGAGGGGCCCAATACAGGACTGGATCCCAGGACCCTGGGATCATGACCCAAGCTGAAGGCAGACCCATAACTGAATGAGCCACCCAGGCATCCCTGGAAAGACTATATTTAGCTTTATAATAAACAGCCAAATTGTCTTCCAAAGTGGCTTTACTATTTTACACTCTCAGCAATAATAATGAACGAACGTTCTGTTGCTCCACACCCTCACCAGGATTTGGTATTGTCAGCGTTTTGGATTTTAGCCATTCTAATAGATGTAGGTAATATCTCATTTTAATTTGCAATTTCCTATTTGCATGTGATGTTGAGCATTTTCTCATATGCTTATTTGCTATCTGTATATCTTCTTTGGTGAGATATCTCTTCAGATATTTTGTATGCTTTTAAATTTGGTTGGTGGTTTTCTTACTGCTGACTTCTAAGTGTTTTTTGTATAGTTTATATAGTAGTTCTTTATCAGATATATGTTTTGAAAATATCTTTTTCCATTCTGTGGCTTGTCTTTTCATTCTCTTAACAGTGCCTTTTTAGAACAGAAAATTGTTAATTTTAACGAGTCCAGCTTACTAGTTTTTTCCCATAGATCATGCTTTGGTGGTGTTTCTGAAAACTCATTGCCAAACCCAAGGTCATTTAGATTTTCTCCTATGTTAATTTCTAGAGTTTTGTGTTTTACACTTATGTCTGTGACCCATTATGAGTTAATTTTTGTGAAATCCATTCATGAATATGGAATATCTGTCCATTTATTTAGATTTTCTTTGATTTCTTTCATCAGTTATGTGCTTTTCTTCATATAGAGCTTTTATGCATTTAGTTAGATTTATACATAATTTGTTTTTTGGTGCTAAAGTAAATGGTATTGTGTTTTTAATTTCAAATCCCAGTTGTTTCTTGCTGGTTTACAGAAAGGCGATTGACTTTGGTATTTTTTTTGGTATTCTTCAACCTTGCCATAATCACTTACTGTTCTGGGCGTTTTTTTAGTTGATTCTTTGGGATTTTCTTTTCTTTTCTTTTTAAGATTTCATTTATTTATTTGACAGAGAGAGACACAGCGAGAGAGGGAACACAAGCAGGGGGAGTGGGAAAGGGAGGAAGCAGGCTTCCCGCTGAGCAGGGAGCCTGATGCGGGGCTCGATCCCAGGACCCTGAAATCACAACCTGAGCCAAAGGCAGACGTTTAACGACTGAGCCACCCAGGCGCCCCTATTCTTTGGGATTTTTCTACATAGATAATAATATCATCTGCAGACAAGCCTTTTCTTTCTTTCTTCCCAGTATGATTACCTTTTATTTCTTTTTCTTGTCTTATTGGATTAGCAATGAATGTCAGTATGATGGTTAAATTAGAGTGATGAGGAGGAATATCCTTGCCTGTTTCTGATCTCGTGGGGAAAAACATTGTGTCTCTCATCATTAAGTATGATGTTAGTTTTATATGATTTTTATTCTTTTAAATTTGTTGATGTGTGTTTTATAGCCCAGAATATGGTCTATATTGGTGAATGTTCTTTGTGAGCTTGAAAAGAATATATATTCTGGGGCGCCTGGGTGGCTCAGTTGGTTAAGTAACTGCCTTCGGCTCAGGTCATGATCCTGGAGTCCCGGGATCGAGTCCCACATCGGGCTCCCTGCTCAGCAGTGAGTCTGTTTCTCCCTCGGACCCTCCCCCCCTCATGCTCTCTCTCTCTATCTCATTCTCTCTCTCAAATAAATAAATAAAATCTTAAAAAAAAAGAATATATATTCTGTTGTTGGATGAAGTATTCTATAAATGTCAGTTAAATCCAGTCGATTGATGGCGCTCTTCAGTTCTACCATATTCTTTTTTTTTTTTTAAAGATTTTATTTATTTATTTGACAGAGACACAGCAAGAAAGGGAACACAAGCCGGGGGAGTGGGAGAGGGAGAAAAAGGCTTCCCGCTGAGTGGGGAGCTGGACGTGGGGCTCAGTCCCAGAACTGTGCATTCATGACCTGAGCCAAAGGTAGACGCTTAACGAATGAGCCACCCAGGCACCCCAGTTCAACCATATTCTTAACTGAATTTCTGCCTGCTGGATCTGTCAATTACTGTTAGAGGAGTTTTGAAGTCTTCAACTATATTAGTAAATTTGTCTGTTTTCCTTGCTGTTCTATCAGTTTTTACCTCACATATTTTGATACTCCCTTATTAGTCACATACACATTAAGGATTGTTATGTCTTTTTAGAGATTAATTATTTTATCATTATGTAATGCTTTTTTTTTTTATCTCCTCATAACTTTCCTTGCTCTGAAGTCTGCTTTATCTGAAATTAAAATAGCTACTCCAGCTTTTGATTGGTGTTAGCATAATATATTTTTCTCCATCCCTTAACTTTTAATCTCTCTGTTATGTTTAAAGTGGTTCCTTTTATACAACATATAGTTGGGTCTTATGTTTGTCTTCCACCCAGAATCTTAGAACTTCTATAAGAAAATGTAGGAAGATATTTTCACATTACCTGGGGTAAGCAAAAATATTTTTTAGAAGGATCACAAAAAGCTACTATACAGAATTGGAAATTGTGGACCTCAAATAAAAAATTTTATTCATCAAAATACACTTTTAAGAAAATTGATAGGCAAGGAGAAAACATATGCAAGATTTTTTTCTGACAGGACTCATAACCACAATATATAAAGAGCTTTTTACAAATTAATAAAAAGGAAAAAAAAAGAATAAAAATAAGGAACTTACGGTTTCTGATCTCACATGTAAAGAGCTTTGAAGCAGTCATTCCTGTCTTTACAATAAGAAGAGAGCTAATCAAACTGAAAATAAAAAACCTTTTTTTAAACAAGATTTTTTAAATTTATTTGTCAGAGAGAAAGAGAGAGCACAAACAGAGGGAGCAGCAGGCAGAGGGAGAAGCAACCTTCCTGCTGAAGAAGGAGCCCGATGCGGGATTCGATTCCAGGACCCTGGGGTCATGACCTGAACCACAGGCAGATGCTTAACCGATTGAGTAACCCAGGCGTCCCTAAAAAACCTCTTTTAGATCCATTGGAGAAATGAGGTCATACGGCAGTCTACTGCCCCTGGAATTGGAGAGACAGGCAAATAGAGACTATCACAGTTTACTGAGAGCAGAAGCCACTGCTGGACCTTGATAGGAATACTTAAAGGTGATTGAACGTACTGGCTTCAGAGATAAAAAAAAATTCCTGGGGGTACAGGAAGTCCACCACTCTTCCATGAATTTTAGCTTCAGGAGCCCAACCAGATCCTCAGAGTGAAGATCACAGAAAAATACCAACAGAGAAAGAAAAAAGTAATCAGTTTGAAATAAGCCCAGAGTGCTGTATTCTTAGCAAAGCCAGCTGGCAAAATTTTGATATGAATCCCATTACTTTAACAGCTGTTGAGCTATTAAGACTTTATTTCTTCTTGAGTCAGTTTTATCTTATGTTTTGTCAAGGACTTGGACCACTTTATCTGAGTTGTTGAATTTATTGGCATAAACTTATTTATAATATTGTCCTATCATCCTTTTAATGTCTGTAGGATCTGTAGTAATGTTCATCTTTGTCACTCCCAGTATTGCTAATTTGTGGTTTTATTCCCTTGATTTATGTGACAGTAGGCTTATCAATTTTATGGAGATTTTCAAAGATCTAATATTTGAGTTTGTTCTTTGATTTCTATCTTTATTTTTATTTATTTATTTATTTATTTTTACTTTTCAAAATTTTTTTTCACTTTGCAATATATAATGTACATCTTTTCATGCAAATGGGTGAGACTCATGATTGAAAAAGGGAAACTTACAGCTTGTGGGCGGGGAAAACCCAATTTTATGCCAGTTACAAGTGAAACACCTAGAATAAATCCACGCGAAAAGTTATAATTGAGATGGGGAAAGGTATATGAGAAAATACAACCTTCAGGTGGCAATACTTATATCAGGCAAAACAGCATTAAAGGCCGAACACATTAAATAGGATAAGGAGGGTTCCCTCTCGCCTTCCAATGCATAACCATCAATTTGTTGCGTAGTCTTTTCATTTCTTCCATGTCCTCTGCTACCTTTATCATTTCCTCAGTGCTTAAATTTCTGCCATGTATGTCCCCTCTAAATTGCGGGCGAGAGCGAGCCAGCCTCTCTTTAAAGCTTCCTTCTTCTAGCTTATGTTTTCCCACTCCACAAGGAGGCTGCTCCATGGGAGGGCGCTCTTCCAAAAGGTCCCTTCTAGAAAGGCGCTTCTGAGGAGGGCGCTCCTCGAACACCAGTATCTCAGGAAGGAGCTCAATAAGGAGCTCCTTGGGAAAGAACTCCTCCGAGGACTGCTCCTTGGAAGATGGTTCCTCCGGAGACTGCGTTTCGGGAGAGTGCTCCACAGGAGGCTGCTCCTCATCCGTCTTGGGTGCGCTCTGTGGCTGTTCTTCGTTTTCTTTGCAGGATTTTTCCATGTTCAGGATGGTCTGGACCTCTCCTGGAGGTTTGCTCTAGGCGTCCTCTCCTCGAGGCGCGCCGCTGTGACCTGCAGACCTGTAGACCTGCAGACTTCCTTCTGCTCTTCCCCTCGACCAAAGGGCAGGAGGCAGACGGTGTCTGGACAGGCAAAAAGGCTATTTTTATTTTTATTATTTGCATTGTTATACTTGGGATTTTATTTGTTCTTTTTCTGTTTTCATAAAGTAGAAATTTAGAACTAATTTTATGCCTTTTTAAAAAAATTTTCAATCATTTATTGCTGTGAATCATATATATGCTGTGAAATAAGTGAATTTTAATTTAAAATGACTATAATTTCCCCCCAAAATGACTATAATTTCCTAGACATCAGTGTATCAATGTAAAGAACAAACAAACAAACAAAAGCTATAATGAAACTCAACTTCTATTGAAACATTTTCTCTAGGATAGGAAAATCAGTATATTTTAAAAAGCTTAAGTTGTACCCAAATACTATATGTGTCACAATTAACTCTAAAATGACAAAAAATAAAATATATTTGTTTTTTTTTTAGGCTTTTAAAAACATTTATTTATTTAAATAATTTCTACACCCAACATGGGGTTGAACTTATAACCCCAAGATCAGGAGTCACATGCTCTTCCAACTGAGCCAGCCATATGCCTTTCTTTGGTATTACAAACATTTAAAGTTACATTTTCCTCTGAGAACTACTTTAGGTGCAGTTTTGAAATGTTTTTATTATCTTTTAGTTTAAAATATTTTATTTTCCTTTTTTTTAAGATTTTATTTGAGAGAAAGAGAGTGCAGGAATGGGGAGAGGAGCAGAGAGAGAGGGACAAGCAGACTCTGCACTGAGCTCAGAGCCTGATGTGGGGCTTGATCCCACGCCCAGAGATCATGACCTGAGCTGAAATCAAGAGTCAGACAATTAACTGACTGAGCTACCCAGCTGCTCCTTAATTTTCTTTTTTTTAAACGTTTGGTTTATTTACAAGTATATTTAATTTTCAAATATTTGGGGGACTTTTAGGATATGTTATAATCTTTATTATTAATTTCTAGTTTGATACTCTTGGGTGAGTGAACATACTTTGTAGGAATTCAGACCTTTGACATTTATTGAGAATTGTTTAGTGACCCAGCATATCATCTGTCTTGGTGAACATTTCATGTGTACTTGAAGAGACTGTGTATTTTGCAGTTGTGGCTTTAGTGTTCTAGAAATACCAGTTAGGTCATGTTAGTGTTGGAGCAGTTCAGATTTTCTTTCTCCTTAGTGTTTTTTTGCTGGCCAGTTCTGTCGGGGTAAGAGAGGGGTGTAACGTTTTCTACTATTGTAGTTTGTCTACTTTCCCTTTAGTTCTTTACATTTTCTTCTATATATTTCAAAGCTCTGTTATTAGGCACATTCATATTTATGATTGTTTTATATTCTTACTAACTTTGTGTCATATGAAATGTCCTTCTGTATCTTTAGTAATATTCTGTGTCCTGAATTCAACTTTGCTGGTATTGATGTAGTCATTTTAGTTATTCCGGCATGCTTATACTGGATGTTTCATGGTATATCTTGACATCCTTTTACTTTTTAACCCTACTCTTTATATTTAAAGTGTGTTTCTTATCAACAGCATATAGTTGGGTCTTACTTTTTTTCATCCAGTGGGCAATCTCTACTTTGTAAATGGCATTTTAGACCTTTTTTTTTAAGTTTTAAAAAGATTTATTTATTTATTTTAGAGAAAGTGGGGGAGGGGCAGATGGAGAGGGAGAGAGAGAATCACAAGCAGACTCCCCACGGAGTGCAGAGCCCACGTGGGGCTCAGTCCCACGAATCTGAGATCATGACCTGAGCTGAAACCAGAAGCCGGACACCCAGCCAACTGAGTCACCCAGGCACCCCTCGACCATTTATATTTATGTAATTATTATTATGGTTGACTTTTCAATTAATTATCTTCTATTTGTCTGATGTATTTCTTTCTTTCCTTCCTTTTCATGATTGAGGTTTTGTTTTGGTATATATATATTTATCTCTAACTCTATTCACTTACTAGGTATACATCTTTGTTTAACCTTTTATTGGCTATTCTAGAGAGCACAATATGCATTTTTAACTCACCACAGTTGACTTTCAAATAATGTTATTAAACTTCATCAACAATATAAGAAACTTAGGACAATTGTACTTATTCCCATCTTGTTTGTTGTGTTTTTGTTTTAATATAATTTACTTGTAATACACACACACACACACACACACACACATAATTAAAACAAATTCTTTTATATTTATCCACTTAATCTTTCTGTTGCTCTTTTTTCCTTTTTTTGCAGATCCAGGGTTCTAGGTGGCATAATTGCCTTTAACATGATAAATTTTGTTTAGTATTTATTATAGTACACATCTGTCTGCTAAAGAAAATTTTCTTGCTTTGTCTATCTGGAAACGTGTTTATTTTACTTCTATTTCTGAACAGTAGCCTGTATCAGTATGGAATTCTGGGTTTTCAGAGGGTCCCCTCCCCCCAACAATTTAAATATTATGGTTTTTTTTTTCATTTTCTGCTCTCCATTGTTTCTTTTCTTTTTTTTTTTAAATTTTATTTTTATTTATTTGACAGAGAGAGAGCAAGAGAGCACAAGCAGGGGGAGCAGCAGAAGGAGAGGGAGAAGCAGGCTTCCCGCTGAGCGGGGAGCCTGACATGGGGCTAGATCCCAGGACCCTGGGATCATGACCTGAGCTCAAGGCAGACGCTTAACGACTGAGCCACCCAGGCGCCCCTGCTCTCCATTGTTTCTATTCAGAGGTTCAGCTATCATTCTCATTGGTGTTACAAGATTTGCAATTAGGCCTTTTTTCTCTGGCCTCCATATATTTTTTTTATAAGTTTGACTATGATGTGGTTAGGTGTGGTTTTCTTTATAGTTATATTCCTTGTGGGTTTGTTTAGCTTATTTTGAATCTGGGGGTTGATAACTTTCATCAGTTTTGAAAATTTCAGGGCTCATATCTCTTCAAATATTTCTTCACCATTATTTTCTCTCTCCCCTTTCTTTTGGGAACTCCAGTTACGTGTATGTTAGATCATTTAACGTTGTCCATAATTTCTAAGAACTCCTCCTTTTCTCTCTTTTCTTTTTTTGTTTCATGTTGGGTAATTTTTTGGACCTATCTTAAACTTTACTGAGCGTATTTCTTTTGATCTCAGACACTATTCCTCCTATCTTTATTCTTTATGTGTTTGTGTGCATGTTTCAATTTGTAAAATATCTGTTCAGTTGTCTTCACATTCAGGGATCATTTTTTCTTCATCTAGTCTGCTCTTAAGCCCATTGAATGAATTCTTTATTCTGATTTTTATTTTCAGCTTTTTCATTTGATTCTTTGTTGTAATTTGTTTTTCCACTAAAATTTCCCATCTTTTTTTTTTTAAAGATTTTATTTATTTATTTGAGAGAGAGAGAATGAGAGTTAGAAAGTACGAGAGGGAAGAGGGTCAGAGGGAGAAGCAGACTCCCTGCTGAGCAGGAAGCCCGATGCGGGACTTGATCCCGGGACTCCAGGATCATGACCTGAGCCGAAGGCAGTCGCTTAACCAACTGAGCCACCCAGGCGCCCATAAAATTTCCCATCTCTTAATATATATTAACTTCTCTTTCTTCCTAGAGTCTGTAACATTATAATAGTTAAAGTTTTCATCTGTTAATTCCAAGATCTAGGCCACCTGTATATATGCTTCCATTGACTTTTACTTTTGGATCACATGTTTATGCTTATTTATGTATCTTGTAATTTTTTCTTATATGCCGGACACTGTATTTAGAATAGTAGAGACTGAAGTAACCACCTCTATGATAGTTCAAACTTTGGTGAATTGGAAATGCTCAAGGGAAGGCAAATGAAATAAGAACAGTGACATAATTTGTACCCTGTGGGCCAGAGAACCGTTATAGTAGTCACATGTTTTCCATTTGGGGATGACACATTATTTTTTTTTAATGTCTCATGTTTATAAAAGCGGACATCTTGGTAGAGGTTTTGATATAGGGAGAAATTTACTTTAGTCTTATTTATAAAAAATAAAAAATCAGATACTTAAAATCCCAGTTATGAGGACATCATCACATTTTTACAGTTGACGTACAAGTAGGGTATTAATCTGTCCTAGAATAATTTTAAAGATAGTTTCCATGATATGTTTTTAAATAAGATATGAACATACAGACCTGGAAATGTTGTAGATATATGACTGGATGCCAAATTGAGGTCATTATTACATGGTAGTATCAGATAGTGCTTTTTATTTTTCCCTTTATAGTTTTGTATTTTTCCAGTGGTTATGGATTACTGTTACAATTTTTAAGAAATAGCATGATATATACCAAAAGAGAATGGTAATCGTTGTGGAAATTTTGCTTGCATTTAGGGATATAAAGCTTAGATTTGTGCCTAAATTTTAGAAGGATTCAGGGTCTGGTCTCTGGTTTCTGTTCTCTGCCCAAGAATATAGCCTTGCTGTGTTTCTTAGCTTGAGTTTCCTAGAAAGCAAAGCCTGAGTTATAACCTTATAGTTTACTACTTCTTTTGGACTATAATCCTACGGAAGCTGAGAAGCAGAGTTGAGTGAAAGGGAAATGAGTTGGCAAACTTGGGAGAGCAAGCCAGTGATGCTTAATGTTGATCAATTTTAAAGAACTTTTAGGAGTTCTATATATTATTGTAAATTTCAAGACATTTCATCTAGGAGGAGGAAAGGGGAATTTATCTTTTGACTTACTTTTCTCATTAGTTGAGGATTCAGCCCACTGGCATTAACTGCTCACATTTCTTGGTTGTGTTGTGTGGGGGGTGCTAGGAAGGCTTCATGGTTCAGTGACATGGGAAGCCTGGGATGGGAAGTGAGAGGTATAGAAGCATGAAGGAAAGCACAGTTGTGTTATGAAGTCATTTGATTGTGTCTTTGGATGTTGCAAAAACTTCTGGTAATACTTTCATTTAGCCTCTGTCACTTTATGACTTCAAATACATTGTAGGC